CCCGGATTTTCTCAGCTATTTGGAGGTGGGAGTCGGACAATTTAGATGGCTACGTGGCGAGAGAGAGGGTTAGAGATAATGTCACTCTGTTTCTACTGCCCAGAGCTGAGTGGGGAGCAGTCAGACTTGCCATTGCTAGTAAGGATGTGGAAATTTAGTCTGGATTGAGACAGGGATAGAGGGTGATTTGAGCACCAGGTACCTGGAGAGAGAAAGCAGTGTGGTCCTGACACGGGTCAGATGGGGACCCAGGCAAGGGTCCAGAACAAGGATGACCATGTCTAAGGGGCACACAGGCCTTGTTTCAGCTGAGACTAATTTTCCCAGGTTCCTCACAAGATCAAGCCTCCTCCACCACCCGCTTCCCATCCCCTCCCACAGGAAGACCCTACAAAGCAATGGCCCTAGAGTTAGATGCTTTCCCTAAACCGAGGAATATGAAAACTCTTCCTAGTCTGAAATGCTCTGCAATGACTGGGTTTGCTCTGAACTAGCTAAGATTGTGTTTCCTGCCATCCAATGTATTAGTAATGCCAAGAGCAGTTTAATTGAGGAAAATTTCATTTTTCACACAGTAGTGTCTATCGCTTTAAGAAAGGCTAGAAGGAAATTGCGTGCTATCCTCTGCCTTTCTCATTCGCATGGAGTGAAATCGGACATGCTGCGTGGTGGCAGGTTGGGGATTGGAAAGTGGAGTGCCAGGTGTGGGGAGCAGAACAAGCCAAGCAGAAGAAATCAAACCTTTAATAATTGTTTCACTGAGTAAAACTGGTAGTAATTCCCTTAGGAACAGCCACAGTGTTCAGCTGTAGAAACTCAAACTGAACATACTGAGCGAGACTAATTAGAAGAGGATAAAAATTACGTGATGTACATGCAAGTCTCCTCGTGACAAATTTCAGGAAATGCATGGGAAGGTCGGGAATTTAGGGCTCCTGGACTCCGGGAAGGGTAGCCCTACCACCATCCTGGGTCCAGGGCAGGAAGGGAGACAAGGGAGCCCTGGAGAGCCGGGGAGGGTGGGGAGGGGGCACAGGGAAGCAGGCAAGTGGGCAGAGAGGAGTTGAGGTGACAGTCAGAGGTGCAAATGCCAGTATCCAGAAGGTAGAACGAGGTCATAAAAATGAGTTGTCAACCTAACCATAATGAAAACAAGCACAGCCTACTTAAGCTCCTTAAACTGAGCTCTTGCAAAAACATAGTGTGAGATAATTGGGACATGCCTTGAACTGAAATTGGTTTTGTTATATTCATGGAGGAAGGATATGTTAAGAAAATTAACAGTAAAAGAGTGTGGTGGAAGGGAGAGTACACAAACAAAGGGAACAAGCTGTGTCCAATCACCCTCAAGCACAGAGAAGCAAAGATTTACATATAAACAATGGTTATACTAATCACATATCATTTGTAACTACCCACTGAAGGAGGCTCAACAAAAGATAGTCATTAGGGGATATTTAGCAGTGTGGGTTCATGTTTCTCTCTTCTACAAAGAGTAATAAAATTGAGTTTCATTTGCATTATTTTATAATTTAGGTAGTTTACTAATTCAGACAGGTATCCCTTCCAGTGACTTCTAATTAGGTTTCCCATCATGAAGAATCAGAGATTCGGGAAACATTGTTAGTGAATTCACTGGCAAAATTAAGTGCTTTGTGTGAGTTTTGTGTTTGTCTTCCATTTGGACAACCATATACTCAGATGCCCCATTCATTTTCTGATGAGCTAGGTCCCAGCCTCCTTAAATCCACTTCCAGCGGATTCTGGAAGCCCATATAAGTTCTTAATGCTGGGGCGTAGGAATTGAGGAGGTGAGATGGATGTGACTTTGAAAATACAAGAAATTGGGAACAAAATGGAAAAATAAAAACCAGTGTCTGAGCTGAGAACTTTGAACCCAAGACCGAATAGCGTTAGTCAAACCAAACCCACGATAGAGGAGGGGTAGGTGGTCTCACCCGCAACCTTCCTGCTGATTTCCAAGAGCCCAAAGTGCTTAGGTTGGCAGAGTAGGTTAGAGTGGTGAAAATAGAAGCTAGGATTTGATGGTGGAGACAGGAAGAAGGAAAAGGTTCTGAACCTGTGAAGGGGATGCCAGTAAGAACTAGACCCCCAAGAGAGTTTAGGGGTTCAGAGGAGAAGAACTAGAGTGTGAGGTGGAAAGCTAAGGTAGACGCCCAGGCATGTGGACCAAGCAGGGCAGCTAAGACTAGGTAAGGCTGCACCATGGTGGGTACGGATCCTCCAGGGCTAACCCAAGCTGGACAGCAGCCCACAGTGCCACAACTCATTCTATACCCCACCCACCAGGATCTGTAATTTACCTGGGTCCCAGCGGCTTAGAAATGGGGTAGGGATGAGCTGATCATAGGATTTGGGTGAGTACAGCTGGTAGAGACCAGGGAGAGGAGAGGTTGCGGGGTAGAACTGTGGTTCACAAGACTCTCCCCCGCCCCACCTCTGGCACAGGGAGAGCAAGCTGTCTGTTGCCCATTTTGACAAAGTTTGGCAATTGACAGGAAAACACCACCACACTTCGTTTATGCAGTAAATGTTTATTGGTATCTTAGCATGGCGCTGGGGCCTAAAGAGAACATGAAACACAAGGCATTCCTTTCACCCAAAGAGCTTAATGACTGTAACACATTTACCCAACACATGTTGAAGCAGCAGTTTAAAGCAGAGTTGCATTGTGTGGCAAGAAGAGAGGTACAGTCAGTGACAGCTGAAACTCAGAGGAGGAATGAGTCAGGGAGGGCTTCGTGGAGGAAGCCACTGAAGCTGAGCCTTAAAGAATGGGTAGAATTTAAATAAACGCAGTTGAAGATGGGAGGCAGGTCTGGATGGAAAGCTACCCCAGGGGGTGTGAGAATTAAATGAGATACTTCACAGAGCTCACTTGCTAAGTGAGTCTTGCTAAGACTCTTGGCACCAAAAATGCCCGGAGCAAATGAGAGGTGTGGCTACCACTGTTGCTATTATTTCTGCTACTTTCACCATTTTTATTTTTGTGCTATTTTTGCTGCTTTCGGTAAAGGCAGTGGGGATTAAAAGGACACATTTGAGAGATTGCAAAGGGGCAGAGTTTTGACTTACTTCTTCAGAAATACGTGGAACAAAAGGACTCTCAGTAAACAATCATTTGCATTAGAACAGTTTCTGTATCAACAGTGCATCAAAACTACTTGAGTTCAAAGGTGACCAAGGAAAAAAGTTACACTAAGAAATTTAAGCTAGGTTTCCACAGAGACTACCACTGATCGCTGTGCAACTAAAAATCACTATGTTTTAGTTAATGAATGTATCTCTCAAAAAATGAGGTGGAACATTCTGAGCTCCTGGCAAGACATAATTCCTCTCTTCCTGCTTATCTCTTTGTCCAGTGGTCTAGCTGTTTTGCCGCAAACATGTCAGTAGGAATGAGATAAAGATGATGTGATTCTTTTTAGTGCCTAGAGATGATGTTGCTAGTTCAGAGAGGACAAACACTTGTAGAGAGCCAGCCAGCCGGGATTTGTTTGTTCACATATTCAAAGCATCCCCTTAGGTGCTGTATTCAAAAACCGGCAAATGAGATTTCAGCCGAGACTGATTATGGCCCGAGTCTCAGAACAACTGCCTCACTGTTGATTATTACCCCCTTTGTGACGGTCAGTCTGTCTCCATTCTGTTTGCTGTCTTGTTCTATAAATATCAAGGAGGCTGCACAGGCAGCGTCACTGAACGGAGTCCTGTGCTTCCCGGGTGCACAAAGCCTGCCGAGATAGAATCTCTGGATCTGCAGGTTGATTTCATAAAGGGGATTATTGAGTCAACAGTAAATGGCAACAAACTCTAATTTCACTTTCAATGCCACGTCTCGGAGCTGAGCAGTTGGGCGGTGCGCGTGTGCATGCTTTAGGAGGTGATTCCCAGGGACCGGACCCTGCTGCAGCCAGGAGTGATTTGTGCCGGCTCTGCTTCGCTACAGAGTCTCTCCAGCCCTCGAGTGCCAGGCTGACTCCCGGGACAGCTCCCTGCTGAAAGTTTTATTCTGAGTGTTCGCAAAGAAGCGAACCTCCAGTAGGAGGTGGATGACACAGTAATTCTAACTTATTGTGAAGAAACCAAATCATTTCAAGAACACGGAGAGGATTAAAAAACAACAACAATAAAGCAACAACTAGAATTTTTCTTGAAGTATTTCCCTTTTTGATATAAAGAACCAGTTTGAGACCTTGAATTATTGCAACAACTAAATGCACCATTAGGCAGTGTCGGACATAACCTGACAACTCAGTGTTTGGATGCAAGAAGCAAAGAACTATTGCTTTTCAGTTGCCTGCTCTGTTCCTGTTCACAAGATCTTGTTGCAGAATAGGGCAAAGCACAGTATTGGCTTAATGAAGATCTTTTTTTCAATGTGACCCTTGGATACTTTGAAGCTGAAACTTAACAAACTCTGATTCTTTCATTTGTCATAGGAAGCAACTTGTTGCAAAAGGTAGTGCCACTAACTACCGTCAAAGAATCAATTTCTCACTGATGTTCAGTGAAAAGGATCAATAAAGAAAGACAGCGCTCCCTTGCTGATTGCTGTCTCTCATTCCATCAGTCACTGCCCCCTGGGACATGGGCTTTCTACACCTCTGGTGTTCCTAGCAGGAATCTCACAGCTCTAACCCCTACTAGAAACAGACATTTCAAGCACTGCTATTAATTAAAGGTGCTTTTGCCTAAGGAAAGGGGGAAAATAAAAATCATTCACTCATAAATATTGCTTATGATTTTCAGCAGCAGCAGAAAAAAAGAACACCTGTATTCATGAGAAACTACAATATGGATCTTTGTACACTAGAGCATGTTGCTTTAGCTCATCAGGTTTTTTTAAAATCCTTTTTAGTAAAGAAATAAACAATACCCATTCACAACACTGGCCATGATACTCTAACCGGCTCTATTAAGTGCTTCCCGCCTCATTATTTCAAGTCAGTGTTCAGAGTGGAAGGCAGGAAACTTACCTTAAAGGAGTAGTAGAAGGAGCCCCACTCCTCTCCTTCCACCACTTCAGTGACAGTCACCGTTTCAGTGCAAGCCACTGGAGAAGAATCCAGCGTCTGCGTGGTCCCGCTGGAATTGGGGCTGCCCTCTGTGAGGTGGGCTGCCATGGCTCAGGTGGGGCTGAGCCTCGCTGTCCCTGCGCCTGCAGCAGAGTGAGGGAGCCCAGCTCGCCTCCGGAGAGCAGGGAAGCAGCTGCAGCTCAGCACCTCCTCTGCCTCCCAAGGCTTCTGGCTGGAGCTCGGCTGAGCAGAGGCACAGAGCCCTCCCTGAGCCCACCTCACTGAAGAGCTCTGCCTGACGACAGGAGGATCCACGTGCTGCTCTCTCCTTGGCAGATATGATCCGATCCAGCAGCCAGCACAGCCCTCACCACCCTGCCGTCCGGACCAGGGCCCAGGCCTTACCCTGAGAGCCCTCTACGTGGCCCCCTGCCCTGGCCTCCCTGCCCTGGAGTGCTTTTGCTAACTTTCACAATGGACCCCTACCTCTGATCCAGCTTCCACAATACAGGAATTTGGACTAATTAGCAGGTCCATTAATTCAGGTCATGTTTGCACTTATGAAATCAAATTATAATTGTGCATTTGTGTCGGCTGAGGTTGCTTTCTGCTCACAACCCTCACCCTGACATTTACTTACTGGCATGCATGTTATTTCCGTAAATGTAGGCAAATGGTACATTTGTGTTTCATATCTGCAGTTTGAAGTTGTCATAGGGCAGTTCTCAGAAGAGCACAGGGTCTGCATGTCAATAAGCCAGAAACCCTTAACATATGACTAGGGGTGTCTGGTGAAGACTCTCATTCTCTTGTTGCCTTTAGTATATTTTCCTCAGTTCCTGCGTAGGACCGATCCTCAGGGTGAGGGTAGAAAGTGGTCGTGCATGTCTGTCCTTGGCACTATAGACAGGAGTGGGCAAGAATAATAAAAGCTGTTCGTGTTTCATCAAAAAAACTCACAAAGCACATTTACATGTTCTTTCACTGGATTTTCAAAACAATTCTGTGAGTTAGGCAGGGAAACTATTAGCATCTGTATATTCTCCTTTTATTCTAGAAGAGACTGGCTCTGAGAGGTGAAATGACTTACTCAAGATCCCACAGCTGCTGACAGAAATGAGCTGATAACCCATCTCTTCAGAAATTCTTAGACAGCGGTGCTTTTATCGTAACAGACACTGATTTGCATTAAAGCTCAAATGCCTGCCAGGGCATGAAGTTAGCATGGATAAGGGTAGCAGCCAGGTGTAAAACAATAAAAAGTGAGCTGCTTGTATTGCAACCAAGCATCGTACCTGATTACTCACATGGGAACACTCTGTGAGCCAAATAGACCCTCACACCCCCACTGGTTTATGACACCTGGGATAAGAGGTAGCAGGGTCAGTGACCATCATAAAAGACCTGGCCCTCGTGAGACCTCCTTGGAAAGCTTTAGCATGACCCATCCAGCCCCAAGAAGAGTACAGTGTGCTAGTAACAAGGTAACATTAAGTCCGTAATGAAGGGACAGCCAACAGAGGGAGTTGTCCAGAAAACTGGATGAGCTATGAGTTCTTAGGGAAAGGTCAAAACAGAATAACAACCCAATCAATCACAAAATGAGCACAGCATATTCTCACAGGCAAAATAAAAAAAAAAAACATGGTGAAAAAAATGTTCATCCACATTAACAATTAAGGAAAAGCAATTCAAAACTATAAGAACTTTTACCTAGGGTATGACTACCCCCAAGCGTTGACAAGAGTAAGGAGAAATGGCATATATTTTTACTTACCTTTGCTTCATTCCATTGGCTGAGAGCAAGTCAGGGGCTGCTCACACCCAAGAGGAGAGGATTATACAAAGGTGTGAATACCAGGTGTCTGGTATCACCACGTCACCTTAAAGTCTGTCCTCTATACCACTCCTTGGGCTAGGTGTTCACAGCTAAGGAGGCAGCTTTTGGAAAAGATCAGGGTAGAGTGGAACTAAGAGTTTAAGGCATATCAACTGGAAATACTGAGTATAAAAATAAATAGTTGGAAAAAAGAACTTAATAAGTGTTTCAAATGTCAGGAAAAAAAGAATTAATGAGCTAAAAAGGCAGGTAGAAAACTCTCAGAAGACATTGAAAGTGATAAAATCATGAAAGGAGTGAGAGAAAAATCGTTAAGGACTATGTACAACAGAAGTCAATGTGTGAACATTTATATGAGCTCCAGTGGAAGAGTTAAAAATAAATGGAAAGGACTGAAAAATAAGATTCATGAAACAATTTCACTTATAAAGCCATAGTAATTCCTGAAATTTAGGAATTTAAAATTCTTATTTAACAAATAAGGCTCTATATTGGAGGGCTCTATATTGTTAGGGATGTCAATTCTTTCCAAATTGATCTATAGATTCAGTAAAATTCTAGTCATTATCAAACCAAGATTTTCGGAAGAAACTGTCAAGTTGATATGAAAATTTGTATGACAATGCAATGAATCTTGAGTATCCAAAGTACTCTTGAAAATGAAGAACAACATTGGAGAGCTTAAATTACCTGACTTCAAGATTTTCCATAAAGTTACAGAATTCAAGACAGTGTGGACTGATGAATAGATTAATGGAATAAAATATTTTATATATACAGAAATAGACCTCCACTTGTATAGGTATCTGATATTGGACACATGTGCCAAAATAATCTGATGAGGAATGAAAAGTATTTTTAACAAATGGTATGAAGCAACTGGGTAACCACGTAAAAAAGAAAATGAAGCTTGGCCTCTATCTCACACCAGGAACAAAAATTAATTTGAGGTGGATCATAGACTCAAAACTATAAGCTTTTGGAAGACAGCACAGGAGGATGTTTTCATAACTTGGGGTTAGGAAAATATTTCTTAGGATACAGAAAGCAATAATCATAACAGAAAAATTGATAAACTAGACTTTATTAAAATTGAAATGTTATGCTCACCTAAATATATTTTAAAAATGTCTTCTTTTGGAAAAAAGATGTTAAAATATTTATAAAACATATATCTGACAAAGAACCAGTATCAAAGATATATCAATAATAATAATAATAAGACAAAAAATTAAAATAAAGAGAAGATTTATGTAGATATCTCACAGAGGGTGATATGAGAATGCCCATAAGCATTTGAAAAAGTGCTCATATGATTAATGGTCAGAGGTATGCACAATGAATGCCACTACACACTCACAAGAACAGCTAACATTCAAAAGACTGACAACGGAATGGTAAAGATGCGAACTGACTGAAACTCTCACACTCTGCTGGGGGAAGAATAAAAATGGTACCGCCATGGAGGTTTATGTTTATTCATAATGGCCCCAAACTGGAAAGATTCAAGGTGTTCATCAATAGGAGAATAGATAAATAAACCATGTATTCATACAATGGAACACCTGTCAGCAATAAAAAGGAACAAAACAACAATACATGGTGCAACATGGGTTAATTTCATAGTCATACTGAATGAAAAGAAACCTTAAAAGAATGCATATCAGAGCCCAGCGTGGTGGCTCACACCTGTAACCCTAGCACTCTGGGAGGCCGAGGCTGGTGGATTGCTCAAGGTCAGGAGTTCAAAACCAGCCTGAGCAAGAGTGAGACACCGACTCTACTAAAATAGAAAGAAATTAATTGGCGAACTAAAAATATATAGAAAAAATTAGCCAGGCATGGTGGCGCATGCCTGTAGTCCCAGCTACTCGGAAGGCTGAGGCAGGAGGATCGCTTGAGCCCAGGAGTTTGAGGTTGCTGTGAGCTAGGCTGATGCCACGGTGTTCCAGCCAGGGCAACAGAATGAGACTCTGACTCAAAAAAAAAAAAAAAAAAAAGAATGCATGCTATATAACTTTATTCATCTTAAGTCCTAGAATAAGCAAAACTAATTCGTGGTGGAAAATTTAAGCACAGAGGTTGCATCTGTGGGCAAGCAGATGGGGCTAGATGTAGAGATGGTTGGAAGGGGCATAAGGAACTGTCGAGGTGATGGTCATGTTCTGTATCTTGATAGAGGTCTAGGATACACAGTTTTATGCATCTGTCAAAATTTATTGGATGATGTAATTGAAATCTGTGTATTTTATTGTACATAATTTTTATCTGAAGAGGCAAAATGGAAATATAAACAAATATTTGTATGCATTTATTTAAGGAAAAATATAAGGATATGCATGCTGAAATATTTGGAGGAAGTATGCTGATGTCTGTGGCTTACTTTGAAATTCATACAAAAACCTAAAATGATGGATGGATAAAGAGATAGAGTGAGAGTTTTATGACAAATAAAAAAATAATGATAGAATATAAGAGATTTTTATATGAGTCTTCACTGTATAATTCTTTTCTATGGGGAAATTTTTACAATAAAATATTAGAGAAAATTTACAAGAAAATATTTGAAGAAATAATTATTGAAAATTTCTCAAGATTAAAGAGAGATATAATATCATATAAAGGATAATTAGATGATAGTTATCATCTAATTATCCTTAAATCGAGAGGATACAGCAAGTGTGAAACAGGAGAAGAAAATAAAAATAGTAGTAAAATTTAAGAAAATTAAAGACAAGGAGACAATCCTAAAAATTTCCAAAGAGGAAAACCCAGAACTTTTGCAAAGAAATAAGCATGCTATTGGTATATGAGTTGCCAATAACAATACTGGATGCGAGAAGATAGTTGAGTAATGGTTTTGGAGATTTTAAAAAATACCTTCAAGTCTATAATCTTATATCTAGAAAAGCTAAGGTTTATGGGTGAGCATAATATAAGAATTTTTTTTTAAACATTCATGGCTCCAAAATGAGCCAGTTTTTATTCTGGTGGAGGTACTCAAGATTGTCAGATGATTTTGACAAAAATAAGAAGTGCTTTTTAAAATTTATTTTTTAAGGGTTTTTATTATATGGATATCTTGTAATCAGTAAGTCAGGACTTTTTGGTGTGCCCGTTACCAGACTAGCATTCATTGTACCCAATCTGTAAGCTTTTATCCAGCACCCACCCTCGTGCCCTCCCCCTCTTTTTGGTTTCTCACATTCTTTATGTCACTTTGTGCCGATGTGTACCCATCCATTAGCTCCCACTTATTCGTGAGAAC